TTGAATCTTCCATCTCTGCTGACACCCTCACAATGTCCACCAATCCTGCTGTCGTTGCTACTGATGAGGATGAGCCTTACTCCAGTGGAACATCTGCCTTTGTCAGTGACAACACACCTGGCGTATCAGTGGGTTCTTCTGCCAGTGTTACTGGTGACACACGTGTCTTCTCTAGTAACACCTCCAGTTTGTCCAATGGACCTACCCAGCCAAGTTTATCCAGCACATCCTACAGGTATGTGTTTTGTACATGTTTGTATCTTTTAATCTTTTGAGCTATATTGTGCAAAAGTCATGACCCACCCCTGCTTTCTTTGTATTTTGCTGGAAAAATAGGAAAGAAGCGCAGTGATTTACTGAAGTCTACAAAATTCTGTCTACAAACAGACATGGAAGCGCAGTATATTAGAGTAGAAAAAACTTGTAGAATTTTAATGAGCTTAAAATTCAAAATGTGATATGAGCTACTTTAGTCTTCAACATAGCTTGAACTCTCTTAACCAAGCTTTCTTGATGGTGATGTCTTCTTTTTATTGAATTTCTTTAAGCATGGTTCAGGAATAGTTTTCCAGGCTTTTTGTTCTGTTCTCTGTCAAGATGATCCCACACAACTTTAATAATGCTGAGGCCAATCTATGTATTGTGATAATGTAATTCTGTCAACATCATTTATATGTCATTTAACTAAATAATTTACAAAACATTCTGGCTTTGCAGTACATATCTTGGCCTGTTTGAGGAAGAATACCTGTCAGATGACCCCGACCTCCAAGAAGCCATTTCAAGGTCTTTAGACTCAAGTGCAAGTGAAAGGTCAGTACAACACAAACTTTTACATGTTGAAAGGTCAACATATTAACCATTATTTTATGTTTGTTGCGGAAAAGGAGTCATCTACTGTCTAGTTTTGGATCAGTTTGAATAAGCAAACTACGAACTGCAACCTGTGATTTCTGTTGTCATTTGAAGATTACCAAGGCTATCAGATTACTTATATTTTACTTGATATATGTTTTGGTTTATTTTTACTTTTTTGAATGGAGGTTGGTTGTCAGTGTTGGATCTTGTTGTTTTTCTTGTTCTGCTTGTATTTATATAGTGTATTTATACTATTTATAAATACTAGTGTATTTATGACAAGATAAAAATGTAAACTTAGTTTAACTTAAACTTAATCTTTTTTCCATTATCACAAACATTCTTGATTTGTATCTCTTTTTTGTTAAATATCAATTACAGTCTTAAGAATGGTACATTATTATTCTGTTGGTGGGTTATTGCCATTGAGACTAGTATATTTCTTTACTGTTTTTTTTTTGTGTGTGTGTATGTTTCAGTGACGTCCAGAGCTTAGAGAGAATCTTGGAGCAGATTGTTACTAGAGTAAATAATGACAGCACTGTACGCTTCAACATCATAAGGCGAAATGTGTGGGATGGAGCATCCAGAGCCATGGGCAGATCCAATTTTTCACCAGAGAAAAAAATAGATGTGAAGTTTACTGATGACTATGGAATATCTGAGGGTGCTGTTGACAATGGAGGACCTACTCGGGAGTTCTTCCGACTTTGCCTCTGTGAAGTCAAGGACAAACTTGGCATCTTTGAAGGTCCACCCAATGCTAAAGTTCTTACGTGCAATTCTAAAGGTACTTATGATTTTATTAATTGTTGCCATTTGATTTATTTTACATCAATACATTATACATCAATTGGTTTGTGATTACATGTACGAGTTTAGTATCTCATACAGTTAACTAAACACATTTTTTTGGCAATGACAGAATTTTTGTACCACCACAGAGGATTTTAAAAAATTAAACCTAGATTGACTGAAGGGAAGATTGTCTGCTTTAGTTGAAAGGTTTGAAACAGTACTACATATTTAGAAATTCTGGTCATTTTTATACATGCTCTCTCATTTCTCAAAAGTAATTATTCAAATGACTGATATGGTGTAATTCAACAATCAAGAGATGCACTTATGAATGGAAACACAGATGTTTTACAACAAGGTGCAATAGTAAATAACTGGAAGGACTTTGCCAGAAAACATCTAAAAGAACTATGCTATACTACTATGAAGATATGGACAGATGACACCAAGATTAACCAAAATGATGGAAGGAGAAAAGCACAGTAAAGAAAAGAATAGCTTAAGTCACACATGGTGGAAGCAGTGTTATGACACGGGCATGAGTAGCTGCCATAGAACCAAGCCACTACTGTTGTCAATGATAGCACTGGTGATTTGTGAAGTGTAAAGGGCAATCTGTTCAGATTCAGCCAAATGCAAATGCTAAATTGATTGGACAGTGTAAATTGATAATAACCCAAAGCATAACAAGCCAGCTCAGTTACCTGATCTGACTGTAAGGCTGTAAAGAATTGTAAAGAATTTTAATCCTTGTATTAAAAATAATACATAAAATGGTGTTAGCTTTCAATCACTTGTCTAAAGCAACCATCTTTAAAGATGGTGGATAATGTATAAAATTGACTGTAATTCCTAATCAGCTGGTGCCATTTTTTAATAAAATACCTCAAAGGAATTGCACTTTAGTATCATCTTGATTGTTTGGTATTAAAATCCAAGGTGGTGGTGCACAGCAAAATTAAGATGATTTTGTTATTATCCAAACTATTATGGGTGCAACTGTATGGGCAATATTTTTTTCAGAAATAATATTTGGTAACTTGTACTATAAAAAATGCCACAGTAACAAAAATAATGATGCAAGCTTTTGAGATGATGTTTTATTTTATTTGTTAACAGCAATGAAAGATAATGGATACTACTATGCTGGCCAGATCATGGCAATGTCAATTGCCCACGGGGGACAGAGTCCATGTTTCTTGTCTGAACTCTTCTATGAGTGTCTTCAAAAGGGTCCAGACAATGTAAAAGTCAGCACTGATCATATTACTGATGAGGAAACAAGGTCACAAGTGCAGTCGGTGAGTATATTTTCCTTTGGTTCTTTCAATTTCATTGTAGGTCTTTTTTTGCTTGTCCAACATTTTTACTAACACTTCCCTAATTTTTCTTGCCCGAGTCCTGCACCTTTCTAGTAAAAGATCAAACATTTTAATGGCTACAAGAAGGAAGAACTAAAAATGTGTGTGGCAGGTTATGGTTCTGTTGGTTCTGTTGGTTACAGAATTTAATGATTGCACTTGTTTTCCAGCTTAATAACTTATACCTCAGCCTCCTGATTGGCTATGGGGTTTCATAGGGTTAATGTACTAATTAAACACTGAAGCTATTAGTTTTGTATGTTCTACTAAATAGTAGAGTCAAATAATTCATTTTATAATTTCCTCATATTGTTTTTAGATCATACAGGCCGAGAATGATCTACAGCTGCAAGATGCAGTTGCACAGGCAGCCAACTTGATCAGTCTTGCTGGTCACAATGTTTGCATAACACTTCAAAACAAACAAGAAACTGCTTTGGATCTGGCTCACTGGTATGTCCTTCAACGGACCCGTGCACCTTTTGAAAGGTATGTCTAAACACATACTGTAATGGTAAAAAATTAAGCCTGTCAAACTAAAGTCACTGTGTTGTGAAACGGGTATTAGCCTGTTTGGGTGGTACAGGTCTGTAGCGCTCCATGCTAGTACAGTTCATAACAAAACAGATATCTTTCATTCATGAAATTAAAATTCACATAAAACGTATCTGTGCCGATGTAGGCATGTGTTTAAATATGTAAATAAAAATAGATTCAAATTGAGTAGCATTTGGGTTGATTGTAGACTGACAGAAAAGGTATGCCAATGGAACAAGAGACCAGATGTATTTGAAAGCAATTTGTCACTTTTACTCCAATTCATGACAGGTCCCTGTGTATCATATTTCAGCTCAGTTGTTCCATGTATAGGCATTCTTTATCTGTATCTAAGACAGTCTGGCCCTGTAAGGGGAAAAATGTTCTTCACCTCTGATACAGCAGTCCACAGGAAAGTAAAATGTAATTAGTTCAGAAATGTCTCTTGATAAAACCTCAAAACCTCTTGTTATGATACAGGTTCCAAATCCAATCAAATACAAATATAATAATAGTAATATAAAATACAATTTGATTTTGTTTTATTTTGGCTAGGTTCAGAGATGGCTTGAGGTCTCTAGGTGTCCTAGATGCTCTACAGACATACCCTCTTCAGATGAAGTGCCTTTTCGTGAAAGCTGGAATGGCTCTCAGAGCAACTGATATGGAGAATCTATTCCAGATCATTCACTCCGAACGAGGGAGTAATGCATTTCAAGATGAGTGCCGGACCCTGGCTTTCTGGCAAGACTATCTTCAGGAGGCAGAATGTGAGTTTACTACTTGGCACATTGTTTGACCATAAATCAAAATTCTCACTTTTGTGCAGCAGCATCATGAAATTACAGACATAGATGCCATAACAAAAAAGGTAGATAGATAGTACTGATGCAAGTGCTGGGTTTACAAAGAACATTGTATCCAAATGTGATTTCAGTTTGACTTCAGTGTATTAACAGGATAAATAAATAACAGGATAAATAGGAGGATCACTAAATAAATAAATTATTACCAATCCTGTATACTGAGTACAAATAATAGGCTATTGCTGCATCCACGTACATTTAATATGTTGTGGTCTCCACTAACTTCTTTTTTTGACATTGTGGTTTCACTGTATAGCCTAAATAAGCTTCATGTGTGTCTTTCAAATTACAGCTTACTTTTAAAAATATATACATGTTTCACTTTTGATTTAATCTTTTGGTAATTTAATGTATCTGTACATCAGTAGTCTTAGTCAGAATATCATTATGATTTTGTATTTTTCTATCTTATAGTTGAAAATGATGTCTCTTTGGAAGATATTCTTGTTTTCTGCACTGGATGTGACAGCATACCAGCCCTGGGTTTTTCTCCAAAGCCAAGCCTTGAGTTCGTCACTAACTGCAGATTTCCAGTGCCCAATACTTGTGAAAATATCCTTCGTATACCAGTTCATGCAGTGTACACTACTTTCAAATCAGACATGGATTTTGCAATATGGAATTCATCAGGATTTGGAAGAGCATGATGTGTTTTCTTAAGGATTGGTGACATGATGAGGATTTGGGTTTTTTTCTATTTTGCATATGCATTTTTTATTTTCTTGTTTTTGTTAATGTTGTTAACCCCGCATCAGAGTACACCCTGGACAGCAGTAGGACTGTATAGCCTAAATAAGCTTCATGTGTGTCTTTCAAATTACAGCTTAAATACCAGTTCATGCAGTGCACACTACTTTCAAATCAGACATGGATTTGATAAGCCGAAGAGAATGGATAGAATAATTTTGTTTCAGTTTATACATGTGAGGCATTTTTTTGTTTTTTGATTGTAGTTAATTTGTTTTCCTGCTTATATGGCATGTTTTGTCTCTGGTATGACCCATAGTAACATTACATTATTTAGCACCCCTGCAGTGAGCAAAATAATATGCCACAATCTCATTGTTATATAGAATTAAGTTTTCTCAAATGCTTCCTGTGTTCAACTATTCCACATAATGTGAATTTTCAAATGAGATGAGTTAAGCTTTATTTCAGTGTCCCATTTGAACATTTATGCTTTACACAGAACTTTGTATTAATATCATTTAACTTTTAGCTTAACTCACAGGTTTAAAAATGTTTTTGTTAGGTTTGGGTAAAGTTTTGAAAAGTATTACAGTAACCCTACATACTAAAAGGTAGAAAGACAGTATCTCCAACACTGGCAGCAAAGTTGTCTATAAATGTGACAGACATTGGTTAGGTCAAACCTGGTTATGTTACAGGTTGAAATATGAACATTATATCACACTATATGACATTACAATCTTATCAAATTATTATATATTATCAAAGTATTATAAACAATAATAATAATGATAATGATAATAAACATAACCTGGTTTGCAGGGAGTGTTTTAAGGATTTTGTTTGCATATTTTACTATACTACTTGATAACACAGGCTCATTGTAGATTGTTTGGGGTTTTTTTCCTCTTTCATTTTGTTTTTTTAAGACCAGCCCTATTACTGCAGAATATTATTTCCTTCCTATGGGTACTGGAAATACACAAATAAAGTGTTCTGTGTTTCTACTTTTTATGTAATTTGTGTCTTTAAAAAAAGTTTAAAGAGTTTAAAATGTATAACATATTTTATTTAATGAATGAATCATAATTCCTGTTTATTAACAGATACATTAGTACATCATACAATCATATGTAACATATACTGTAACATTTTGTACTGTGACAAGTATGGTTTGTCATGAAAGAAAAGTGTAGTCTAAACACTTTATTTGTCTACTTTTATGATTTAAATGGCACAAGTGAATATGAAGATAAAACCAGTCTTTTTAGCTTACCTTTCTTTTACCTAAATAATAGTCTTGGACCCTTTTCAGTATCATGATATTTCACAATTTTTAGTGTCTGGCACTCAAATACATTTTTTAATTAACACAAACAAATTTACTAATAACTTAACTGAAGCATGCGGCATGCTGTCAAAAAAACTTCTATCCCATGATTTCCATCGTCACTCAAGGGGTCGATCTGCCTCAAGTCAGCCGTCAACTGCTGGTGATGGTAAGAAGGATGTCTGAAGTGCACTTTACTGAGCGGTCTGTGATGCTGAGGAAGTTGCAACATTCCAACAGTCCACAGCTGCAGCGGGGAGTGATTTTCCATTGTCCTTAAGCTGTGATGGTTCCACTGATTTACAAATTCATCCACAGATCTGTTAATTCTTGGAAGATATACATGGTGAAGAGCCCTAATATGAAATGGATCAGTGCTATCTAAAATCCCAACATTTTCCATAAAGAGGAAAAGGTCTTTAAAGTATGCTGACACAACTCTGTTTAGTTCACCCCACAATCTTTCAATTCTTTGATTATGCACACTTCGTCCAACCATAAAGCTTCCTCTGTTTGGCCCTCGATGTTCAATCATAAACCGTGCAATATCAATATTCTCACTGCCAGCATCACCCCTGACACGTTGTGGGAGGCCAAAGAGATCAACGGCACTCTGGAAAAGTTGCATAGCAGTTGATGCTCTGTTATCTGTGCAGCATCTCATGTAGGTAATGCAGCGACTGTAGCCGTCAACACCTCCATGAAACACAAACCCCAAGGATTTAACTTATGGTTTGTGTCAATATGCCTGGAATAAGAAGAAATATTATTATTATTATGACACTAGATGTACATTAAAATAAAGGTCTATGACTTTGACATTGTACTTCTGTCATGTAAACTATTTCTGGAGATAAACAATATTTTAAACTCAGACATTATACAACATTGTTTATTAAAACACAAACAAAATATTATATTACTACAATGCAGGAAGTAATAATTAACATTAATCAAATTTAAGACGTGAAAAAAGGCATACCACACTTGATTTGGGACAGTGACATTGTAGACCCTCCGCTGAATTGCTCTCCGTCCTCTCAAAGCTCTTCCCACTGGATCAACTATTCTTAAACGTTCTCGCACTCGCCACCGCTGAACTCTGATTCCTCTTCCTCTCAAACTACCACTAATGTAGGATTCTCCTGAGCCAGGGGTATGTGTAAGAATCTCAGTAATGAGATGATCAAGATCCACATTTGAAATATTATTAAAATTTCCATAGTCCACTAAACCTAGTTGTATCCTGTGGTTGTACAGTGTTCGAACATTTACTGACAACATTTGAGATATGGCCATCCAACTAAACCCCAAGTCTCGCATGTCAGTCAGCTGAGTAGCTGGTATGTTGTACCTAAAAGAGTTAGAAACAAAAGAAGAAATATGTTAACTTCTTTCTTATTTCTTGCATTCATTATCTTGTTTGCCATCTCTTGACTCTTTCAAGTGCCATACACATTATGAATGAATTTGTTTCCATTTTTATCACTTACCTTGGCCTTCCTCTTTGAGATGTAGAATGATATAATGAGCCCATAACATGTGCTTCAGCTTCTGCTCGAAGTGTTAGCTCAGTTGACATCTCCATCAGTGATTGATAAATTCCCTCAAGAAGTGTGCATAATCTTCTCCCAGAAACATTTTGTTGAACATTATTCATGAGCACTAGAAATGTTGCAATAATGAAAACGTGTTCTTCAAGGTGACGTAGTATAAATTCCAAATTATTTCTACCATTTGCAGTTTGAACAGCTGTCGCAAAACAGTTGTCAAGCTCTAAAAAGTACTGAAATAGTTCAGCTGATGCCATTTTGTAAAGGCAGAGAATTCAGAAACACATCATCTCTAAAAATGAGGTTCATACATTCTATATATTCAAGTTTCATTCTATATATTCAAAAGATCATTCTATATATATTCAAGTTTCATTCTATATATTCAAGTTTCATTCTATATATTCAAGCTTCATTCTATATATTCAAAAGATCATTCTATATATTCAAGTTTCATTCTATATATATATTCAAGTTTCATTCTATATATTCAAGTTTCATTCTATATATATATTCAAGTTTCATTCTATATATTCAAGTTTCATTCTATATATATATTCAAGTTTCATTCTATATATTCAAGTTTCATTCTATATATATATTCAAGTTTCATTCTATATATTCAAGTTTCATTCTATATATTCAAGTTTCATTCTATATATTCAAGTTTCATTCTATATATTCAACAGATCATTCTATATATTCAAGTTTCATTCTATCTATATATTCAAGCTTCATTCTATATATTCAAGTTTCATTCTATATATTCAAGTTTCATTCTATATATTCAAGTTTCATTCTATATATTCAAGCTTCATTCTATATATATTCAAGCTTCATTCTATATATTCAAGTTTCATTCTATATATTCAAGAGATCATTCTATATATTCAAGTTTCATTCTATATATTCAAGCTTCATTCTATATATTCAAGCTTCATTCTATATATTCAAAAGATCATTCTATATATTCAAGTTTCATTCTATATATTCAAGTTTCATTCTATATATTCAACAGATCATTCTATATATTCAAGTTTCATTCTATATATTCAGACTTTGGTTGGAATATATATATATAATATTTTCCTAAAGGGCATTCCATAATATATGTATGTATATGTATATATATATTTATATATATATATTTATATATTGGAGCTGGCCTGGGAACTCCTAGGTGTTCCCCCGGACAAGCTGTAGGAGTTGGCTGGGGAGAGGGAGGTCTGGGCTTCTCTGCTTGGGCTGCTGCCCCTGCGACCCGACCCCGGATAAGCGGAAGAAAATGCACGGATGGATGGATGGATGGGTTAGAGCATGTTAGGTAACTTCATATAGAAATTTGTTAAGATAAAACATTCAATGTTATTTTACAGCGACGACAAATTATTTTAGCAACTTTAATATGGAAAATTTCTGTATTTTTACATGATGGTGAATTTACATTATTTTACCATATTTTTCTGGTTTCCCATATGGCAGATTTTTTTGTGTATGTATATAAAGAGGTAATTACAAAATGTCAGAACAAGAGCACACTCGCATACCGACATCGAGCTGAAAACTCCTTTGATAGCAAGAATAAATTAATAAAGTTCTTGAATCTAAGGAACCCTACATCCAGATTTATTTGTGATATTTTCTTAATTATGTCTTTTTAATGTTATATTTTTGCTTTTAATGTTTTTCATCTTAAGCCTTAAATTTACTCTTAAGTTAGAATGTTATTTCTGTCTTCTCTTCTATGTTCTTGTCATTTAGAGTGTTGTATTTTGTCTGTATTTCTTTTTTTTTTTCAAAAATGTTATTCTCAGTTTTGGTTTTCTTTTCCTTGGTAATTATATTCATAATTTGCAGTTCTCTTGAGTTTCTGTTCTCCTGTACTCCTTGGCTACTTATATCTTTTGAATATGGATTTCTGGGTTAGATGTTCCTGTGTTTAGTTACTTCCTGTTTGATTATGATATCTCTCATTTAGTTTGTGCTATGCTTACTCTTGCTTACCTT